GAAAGTCGTTGGCGTAAAGCAAAGAGGCAGCTACCTTAGGACACATCTTGCTGGTGGATGCACAAAATAAATATGCATTAAGCACAGGTGCTCACAGACACAGTCCAAAGCCGTGGCGGCGTGATGCCGGGCTACTGCGTGTGGTTCTGGGGAAGGAGCTCGGTGGGGCCCCTCTTGCTGCTCGGGCTGCGTGTTGCCCTTCTGATGGCTCGGGCTAAAACAAACACCCAGCGCTATTCTGGCTTTTTGCTTTTTTTTTTTTCATAAAAGTGAAAATCCGCTTGAGATTTGTTTTCGTTATGGAAAACAGGTGCTGATAAAAGCGAAGTAACAAAGTGAGCTTCGGCAAATTGGGGGACACTTGAAATTGCCCCTGGCACTGTCACAGTTTATTCCCATCACCGACTCTGCCATCTGGCGCCCCCCAGAGGTGGTGGCTCTAAACTCTTCCTCAGTGCCGCATGCTTAATTTCTCCCAGGTAATGAGTGAAATGTGTATAGAAAGGTGGTGAAAGCAAACACTTGATAATGGCTTTGCGGGATGGTTTATTTTTTATTTCTAAACTGGTATCTTGAGGGTATTTATGTCTAGATGCAGCCGATGCAGAAGGCAGAGGGGTCCTCTGTGGAGGCATCTCCATCTCTGACTCTCCCCACTTTGAAGTACTTGTTAGTCAAGCCCCCCCCCAGGCACATATGTCCTTCTTTAGGACAGTTTTAAACTGTAATTATTTACAGTAGGTCTGCGCTGACATATTTTCGTTGTCAAAACACAGTTTAATTGGGTAATCTGTTTACTATTATAGCAACTTTAAAAATACACATCACTTAGGAAAAAAATGAAATGAATGAAATCTGTGTTTTGCAATCCTCACAGGATTAACGAGAGGCTGGTAGTGATGAACACTAAACTTCAGATGGCGGAAGAGTACAAGTGTTCTGTCCTCAAAACTATTCCTGCAAGGCCTGCTGAAAAATTTAATGATAGCTCAGAGCACAAATGGACTCTTACTCAAAGTGCAAACTTCAGGAGTTTTTCAGAACCTTCAACTAGCGTGAGTGATTGCTTGTTCGGGGTTAGTTATATTATCTTTTTTCCCCTGGGTTTCAGATTTCTGATATAATTCCTGTTTTTAATTTGATGAAATTCTGAGTTACTTATTTGACTTACACACACTAAGTAAAAGCCATAATTAATTGTGCTAATAAAGAAAGGAGACAGAAATTTTATAATTTTTTTAAGTCCCTGGACTTCTCATTTTCAAGAGATTCCTGTCATTCACTTTATTCAATAAATGCAAGTAAACTGACAAATTTTAAATTTCTTAAAAAGCTCCATTTTAAATTCTATTTTAGAAATTAAGTATTACTGCCTAATAACTAGAGACATACTTTCCAAT